GTAAAAGAGGTAATGGCAATACAGGCGCGCCTTGTGTAATGCTCCTGTGGGTACGTCATTATATAAATGTGCCACTAACGAGGAAGTGCATATTATGATATTCAATTAGCAACAGTCAGTCAAGTCTCACGTAAAACTCATTGGCTATGGTACTGCCACTATGCAAAACTACAATATTCAGAACAAAGAGATGGTCAAAGGAAACTCCAAGGGGCTGGGGAGATGGCTCAGTAGAATAAGCTTTTCCCTGGCAAGCGCAAGGGCCTGAGTTCAATCCCCAGTTCTGCCAAAAAAAAAAAAAAAAAGGAAACTCCAACTTAATGTCTTTGCTTTTATTAGCATAACTCTACGTCCAGTTCTGTAATGTATCACAGAACATGAAACTATAGAACTACAACATACAGTTGTCCTAGTTACTTTTCGTGTTGCTGAGACAAATTACCCAACACTTGAGATTTAGGGGAGGAAAGGTTTATTTGAGCTCGCCGTCTGTAGAGGTTTTGGTCCACAACTGGCTGGCTCCAAGGGGGGGTGGCATGGCAGAGGGGCATCGTAGAGGAGAGATGGTTCGTAGCACAGCAGGGAAGACGTCAGCAAACAGTAAGCAAAGGCAGCGGCAGAAGCAACAGCCTGCCCTTTCCTTTTATTTCTTCCAGGCTTTCATTTCACCATTCCCAGGTGGGGCACCCTTGATCCCAGCATCATACGCCCTAGATCCACCAACCTCTGAAACTATGACCCATGAGACACCGGGGGGGACATCTGGACACAGTAGCTATAACAGTAGTTCAAGTCTGGCATGGCAGTGCAAGCCTGTCATTGTAGCACTTGGAGGCTGAGGCAGGAGGATTGCTGGAAGTTCAAGACCAGCCCGGGGTACAAAGTGAGCTCAAGGCCAGGCTGAGTTGCATAGTGAAATCTTGTCTCAAAAAGACAAAAACAAACAACCCCCCAAACAACAACAACAAAAACAGTAATGCAATTAGCAATTACAGGACTAGTATATGGTACCAAAAAGCGGTTATACTTCTATAAACAAGATGGGCAGAGCCATACAAAAATAATGACAGTGGGCTGGGTAGATAGCTGAGTGGCATAGGTGCCTGCCTGGCAAATGCAAGGTCCTGAATTTGATCCCCAGTACTA